ACTTACTTTTATTAATTTATTCATACTGGATAATATCATTCTATACATTTTTCATTCTTATTTACTTTTATTAATTTATTCATACTGGATAATATCATTCTATACATTTTTCATTCTTATTTACTTTTATTAATTTATTCATACTGGATAATATCATTCAATACATTTTTCATTCTTATTTACTTTTATTAATTTATTCATACTATGGATGATATCATAGTATTTATTCTTTCATCCTTATTCACGTTCATTCATTCAATAATACTGGATGATATCATTTTATTCATTTGTTAATCCTTATTTTTTAAATCCTGATTTATTCAAACGCGTGTTTTAAATTATTTCATCCTCAAAAATGTTTTAAAATTCATCCTTCTTCATTTTTATCAACTTTTAATCATTATTTTATTCTTAATAATGTTTGAAATGTTTAAAATTCATTCATTTTCATTCTTATTCATTCAAAGTTATTCTTTTATGTTAAAACCGGTAGAACCTAAAAAGCCTCACCAAATATACTTAAGCTAATAAAAATTATCAAAGTCAAAAAATTCTTAGTTATTCTTTCATTCTTAATAATATTTAGAATTCATCCGTTTCATTTTCAATAATGTTTTATTCTTAATTTTGCTTAGTATTTCTTTCTTATATATTTATTTATTGATTGATAAATTTCTCTATATCCCAGCTAGCAAATGAATACTTTAAATAGCATAAACGTAATCTTGATTATTTGAAACCTGACACACATTTTAAAAACTTTCACACGCTCAGTTCAAACATTATTAAGACGGTGTTTCTTTCCAATATTTTAAGTTAAATTGGAATCAAATAGAAGCCCCCCCCCTTCTCCTCCCCTTTATCTGTTTTAAGATTAAACAAAAAAACATTGACCAAGTTAAAAACATGCACTTCTATTGTAGATTTGATTAAACATTTAGTACAACAACAACTGTGTCAAATCCTGTCTTTCAGCTTAAAAAATATTCTTAAGAACCTTTAATTCGACAAATATAAACATTTTTCTTCCTTGTCTAAATAAATCAAATTTCTAATTGACACTGAAATATTTTTTTCTGGAATAGCCAGTGCAAGACTTCAAATTATATTTTTTTAATTGATTCTCTTAATTTCTAAAAATAAACTATCTATTTATTTAATTACTTAATCTCCTGTTAATTAATTTTATTTAATTATTTGATTATCTAACTATTCCTGTAAAAGTATCTTTAATTAAGACAATAAATTAACCAATTGTCCGATAGAATCCGATATTATCCTGTTAAATATATACATATATATATTTATATATATATATATGTCTGTCAAACTGGGAAAGTTAGTCCTTTTTCTATTTTTACATTACACTCCAATCTTGCATTTGCCTAGTTTATCCTAGGACTTAGATTCATATCTATCTAGTAAGGATTCCTTTACGGTTAGTTAGCTTAACGTAATGGATAGCTTAATGTTAGTTTAAGAAACGAAAGCAAAAAAAATTCTTAGTCTTGAATTTCAACTGAGAAAGGCTAAAGAATAACGATTTTATCCGAAAAACTAAATTTTTTATTCTTGGAATTTGAAGTGACTATCTACTTCAAGAGTGGCATAACTGATTGAAAAAGGCAATTCTTACAACCTGTTTCTGATTTATCATTAATAAAAGTTCGTTTTCTAGCTTGTTCATTGAAAAGAAACCTGAGATGAGCATATATTTAGTTTAAAGAAAAACTAGCCACTATTTATAACAGCCCTTCTAGCCACTGTATATACCACCCCTAATAGCCACTATATACACCAGCTCTACTAGCCACTATATATACCAGCCCTACTAACCACTATATATACCAGCCCTACTAGCCACTATATATACCAGCCCTACTAGCCACTATATACACCAGCCCTATTAGCCACTCTATATACCAGCCCTACTAACCACTATATATACCAGCTCTACTAGCCACTATATATACCAGCCCTACTAGCCACTATATATACCAGCCCTACTAGCCACTATATATAAAGCCCTACTAGGCACTACATATACCAGCCATACTAGCCACTATATATACCAGACCTACTAACCACTATATATACCAGCCCTACTAGCCACTACATATACCAGCCCTACTAGCCACTATATATACCAGCCCTACTTGCCACTGTATAAATATTTACCTTCCCTACTATCCACTATATATACCAGCCCTACTAGCCACTATATATACCAGCCCTACTAGCCACTGTATAAATATATACCTTCCCTACTAGCCACTGTATTTATACCAGCAACATAAAAATAAAAACTTGAGAAATTGATACTTTGTATTTGCTTCGTAATTACACCTACTCACATCACATTACTTATTATTATTATTATAGGAAATGGACGGAAACTATGACGGACTTGAACCTCCATCTATCCAGTCAACTTTCCGAGTCCGAGTTGCGAGTACGGAATTTTCGGAAAACGAATTCCTACCTCGACTAAACTGCACCTCTGTGATAGTGTCGGGGTCTAGGGACCTACTGGAGTTCACTCAGTCCAATCCAACCTTCTCCAACTGCTCAACCTACTCCGGGACCATCTCAACCTTCTCCACCTGTAGTCCAACCTTCTCCGGGTCCAATCCAACCTTCTCCTCCTCCCCTTCAGAGTACACGAACCCAGATTATCTCATTTCAAATTCAGATTATTCAAGTTCAGAAATACAGGAGTATATTAGCTCGAGTATTGAAGACTACACTAGTCCCAATAACTCTGGGGGGATTGAGGACTATGTTAGTCCTAATAGCTCCGGGATTCAGGACTTTAATAGTCCCAACAGCACGGGAATTACAGACTACACTAGTACAGGAGCTACTGAGTACAGCTTTCAACCCTGCACTGACTCCTTAGAAAATATAAAGGTTCGTTTCTTAAATAGGTTTACTGTGTGCTTCGTGCCCATCTTTCTGCTAATAATCTTGCGTACAACATTTGAAAACAATCTAAATTATGTACTTAACTTTAAATTTGACCGGCCTGGGGGCATGTGAATTACCACACATCGGTTCAGCCGTTCTGAAGTTTATTGGATACTAACAAACAAACAAACCAACGAACAGACAAGCAATATATATATATCTATATATATGCAAAATTTTTAATTGTAAACGTATTTATGGCTTCTTCATTTAAAAATAATAAACAATTATGTTTATTCCGCCATTATTTCTTAGATACTGGTTTAACAAATATACTTGTGAATCGGTAAGAGCAATACTTGAACTATAGGTTCTTTGTGGTATTGTATTTCTATGTCACCCCCTGTTCATTAAACTACCTCTATCAAACAAAAGCTTAAGAATATTTTAACTGTGAATTGTTGAATGCAGGGCGTGGGAAAAACATGGATATTGATTTGGTCTTGTTGTCAGTATTTAACACAATTAACTGCCTTATCACGTTCTCCATTCTTCTGCAGGATTTGTTGAAACAAAAAATTTTGAAATCGTATTTTTTTACAAAAATTTTCTTTATCTATTTTTTTTTGCTTAGTAAAAATATACGATGGGTAAATATCTTATTTTCATAAATAAAGTTGTTTTATCATCTTTAGTTTATGAGTGCTCAATTTTGGTCGACAACAATTTTACAAATTAGTTTAAAAAATTAATGACTGATTGATTTATCATTGATTAATTGATTTGAATAATTCAACTGTTGATCTATCTCCAGGTTGAGGAAAGGCTGGTCAATAGTATCCTCAATGACATGATCGAAGGTGAACCTAACTGGTTTCAGGATTCTATACCAGACACCAAACCCGAGACAGGTTCAAGCCTTCTTCGGCAGGCGCTGGTCTCCCGCCGAGTCAAGCCCAAGCCCGTGGCCCTGTACTGTAATGATTCACAAGAATCAAAGGAAAAGGCTCAACCGGATTTTGTAGATCTTGATATGCTTGTTTATAATGAGCTAGATAAACATTCATCAACGATGAATAACAATGATAAGGCGATGCAGCCCAATACTGCTAAGCTACTAAACAGCTTAGCTCTGGAGGGAATACCAGTTGCCACCGGGGTCACACTACCCACATCCCCACTACCTGTCTCACAGGTCTTCCCGAACCAACAACGCCAGACATTGCCAGTCACCGTGCCTCAATGCACAGTGATTCAAATCCCCACCTCCAATCTCAGACTGGAGATGGAAGTTATGGATCACATGTTTAAGAAGACAGCAGATGTGGAGCCTAAAAAGCGGCCAAGGAATCGGAAAGTCAATCTGAAGAAGAGGAAATCATTTCCAGGAGATGAGGTCTCCCGACCCGCTCCGAAGAATAGAATTGAGAGAGGAAGTTGTGACTCTCTTCTCCATGAGCTGCAATCCCGTGGTAAGGGTGCTGTTACTCCACCGTCTAGTCCAGAGAATGGCAAGGTTCAGAAGGGTAAGAATCTCGAGGCTGTTCCTGGCGGATCTTATCTAGCCAGGCTGTCTCCCATTGACGCTCAACCATGTGTCTCCACAGGCTCCGAGAATACAACACTGCAAAGAATTGATTCCATCTTCTCATCATCTTCATCCTGCTCTCCCTCCCCGTCCTTTGCCAGCGTAACCTCTAGTCCTCCGCCTGGCATTCAAGTTATGACCCCACCGTCCTCTCCTAGTCTGAACCCTAACTCTAGTCTAAATCCGTCCTCCAACCGGCTTCAAGACCCCCATCAGGTGATGGTTGTCCTCCAGAGAAAGCCACCAACCCATACCTGTGAACAGCCCGGCTGTGGGAAGACCTACACCAAGTCGTCTCACCTTAAAGCGCATTTAAGAACGCATACCGGGGAAAAACCTTATATATGTCAATGGGAAGATTGCGGCTGGCGATTTGCAAGGTAGGCCGAGAGTGTATATTTTTCAATCATTTAATTAATTAATCAGTATCATTAATTAATTATCTTATCAATATAAAATTTGAATTTAGTGATGATTTTTTTCTTTTACTTTCACAATGACAATATCAATTTTCATCCAAGTTAAAATTTCGAATTTCAAACTGTTTTTACTTTTTCAATTTTTGCGCAGCATATCGATTTTATTGATATCAAACGAAAGGAAATGTTCCATAGTTTTTTTTAAAAATGTCCAACATTTTAAAAATTGAACTATGATAAGTGCTACAATGTGTAAAGGAACACGTGTTTTTTATGGGACACCCTGTATTTGTAACCAATCTAATTTATGTTAATGGAACACCCCGTATTTTTAACCAATCTAATTTATGTTTATATGGGACACCCTGTATTTTTATTCAATCTAATCTATGTTTATGGGACACCCTGTATTTGTAACCAATCTAATTTATGTTTATGGGACACCCCGTATTTTTAACCAATCTAATTTATGTTTATGGAACACCCTGTATTCTCTAAACTATTTCTGATTATTATTGTTTATTTGTTATTGTTCAGGTCGGATGAGTTGACCCGTCACAAGAGAAAGCATACCGGAGACAAACCATTTCACTGTAAACTATGTGATCGAGCTTTCTCAAGATCTGATCATCTAGCGCTTCACATGAAACGTCACACGTCTATATAAAGCCCTTTGCATTAATGGGACTGTAAGCGTAATTTTAAGTGAACTCTCATTTCAAGAGGAACATCCCAGAATCAATACAATCCTTAATCTGATCAAATTGTTGAAGATAACGTTGATTTCCTCGAAGATGTTTAATTCTGATAATTTCTTATAAGCAAGAAATTAGCATATTCATTTAACAGAGAAACCTCTAATGAAATTATCCAATTTTCAATATGATAATAAGAAATATCGAATTCATACTTGAAAAGACAGCGCTTTTAAGGGAACCGTTGTAAATTTGGCATTGTCAAAATTTGGCATAAAATTACGCTTACAGTCTCTTTCAGTCAGTCCGTTTTAAAGTTTAATTTAAAAACTTAAAAATCTTTTCTACATTAAAAAAAAAGTTTATTTCATTAAAATTAAGGGCTAAAAATGCTTCAAAGTAACTGATAACTCGCACCAAACTCTAATTTTTTTATCCTTTATTCCCTTTGCACCCGGAGACTTTTGGTTTTTCAAACTAATAACTCTTTAAGATCAAAAAGTTTGAGAGCGAGTAATCAATTACTTTGAACCTAAAAATGCGCCAAAAATATTTTCTATTTTAATGGTTTCCTTGGTTGCTCAAATTTCCCAATTCTCCAATGACATCGTTTAAAAAAGAAAAGGAAATCTATTAATTTTATTTCATGTAACTATGCAATTTTGTAATTAATACGTGATGATGCGTTTATTCGTAAACTTTTTAAGGTTTACTTCATACATGTTCTCAATTTGGAAATATGGTTTTTATAAATAATTAAATTTTTAACCTGCCGTCAAGAAACCAAACGACCAATAAACAATTATATTTTCATTTTTTTCCCTTTCATGGTTCGCTTAATTTTTTTAAAAGTAATTTAAACTAGTCTTTTTTTTACAAATATATATCCCATACTTTTATCATTTTTCCCACATAGTTTAGATTGAAATGTTAAAGAATTTGAAATTATGATTACCAGGAATCTCCCCCCCCCACATCCCTAATCTCCCCTCCCCTTTTAAACTCAGTTGATTTTCTAAACAAAAAAATGTCCACAAAAAGCCTATAAAGCAAAATTTATTTAAAAAAAGATTTAAGTCATTACGATACCTCTTTTTAAATGGCATTTTAGATGTATAAGAAAAATGGTTTACTAAGGAGGGAAATTAATCAACCCCTTATTCCATATATGGAAACTATGTCTTTGTTTAAAATATAAATGTATTTTTGAAGATAAATAAATATATTTTGTGCCATAAACTTTAATACTTGAGCGTATAGCCTACGGCGTGGCAATTTCTAGACGCTGTTACAAAAGAAAAGTATTTTCTTTGGAATAGTTTTCTAACTTTAAAACAGATGTTTTCTAACTTTAAAACAGATGAATTATTTTAATTGTCCCGGTTGTCTCTGCCACAAACTCTACAATTAAGAATATAGAATATAGAAACACAAGGATAATTCTACAATTTTCGCTTTAAAAGAGTCTAAATGTGTCGTATAGATTTAAAGATGGAGAGTCACTTAAAATATCGTTAATAGTCCCTTTAAACTGAAATGAGTTGGTTAAAGGAACAGCTGTATTTAGCCTGGGAAAAGGCTAAAGATTTGAAAACAAATTAATTTGAATTATGTTTAAAACCACATCCTTCAATCAACCTTGTCTTTCCAAGATTTCCAAAAAAGAGAGAATTGAGAATTGAAAAAGAACGTTTTAATTGATTCCAACTAGACATAAGGAAAAGGTCAAATTTTTGTGAAATTATTGGTACAACTTTGTACCATCGTAGCGCCTCTAGTTTTGATTTTATGAATAGTACAGTGATACCAGAAAACTGTAGAACAGGAAGAAGACATTTAAACAATACTGAAGTGCTTTTGATGTTGTTACAAAGCAAATAGCTTTACTAGTATTAAATCACTTGTTAAGTGAAATGGGTCTGTTTACATTAAACAATTGCTGTGCCTCATGTTCATTGGACTATTTAAAGACAGAACTCGTGTCTAAAAATCGTCTTCCTATTCCAGAGTTTTCTGGTTATCACTGTATTTTGAATCTTCTCTCAAGAGCCCTTTAAAAAAGTTATAAATTGAAATGAAAACATGAAAAGATTTATCCCAACATAAAACTACTTTAATAGGTTATATAATAATAATAAATAATAATTTGTTGTTTTTAAAGAATGCTACTTTGCATCAACCGTTCTACGTTGCAAGTTACTTTATGACGCTTGAGCATCTGTTTTTTTCAAAAACGCATTTAGTAAAAAATATATTTTTTAACCATTGTTGTATTTTTATATTTAGTAAGTTCATAGAAGTCTCATTCAACATGGGTAACTCTGTATTTTAAGATACAGAATACAGGTGTAAATAAACGTGGATTAATATCTTGCAGGGTTACCATAAAAGCAACTGTAAAAAAAGTACAAACTTTTATTAAAATGCGTTTTTTTCTCCCATGATTAAACATTATTCATTATTTGTGAACCTTGAATGCATAAGATAGAATTAATTTAACCTTTAGATTTGAAAAAACAATGATAAAATGCATCTAGAAAATGTTTGAAATGGTGGAACATTAAACTTTAATTTAATGTCTAAAAATCTAAAAATGTGATTTTAACGAGAAAGAAGACTTTAACGATAGCAGAGAGAAGTATCGTACTTAAGAAGTAAAGAGCAATGAATAGCCCTTACATACAGAGGTACCCAAATATAACGAGGCTCGTAATTCGAAATTAAATCCAGCAAGAAAAACAGAGATTACTACTTTATATATATGCAATATAATTAGGCGGAACATATAAGCAAACATCCAGCTAGACAAACAGAGATTACTACTTTATATATATGCAATATAATTAGGCGGAACATATAAGCAAACATCCAGCTAGACAAACAGAGATTACTACTTTATATATATGACTAGTTTGGGAACCAAGCTTTACCTATAAAATTCAACTCTGTCAACAAGAACATTCCCGTGGTTGTCCCGAGTTCCCCAATCAAAATTTGAGGCAGAGACCCCAAGGGTGGGGTTCATACGTAATTATCGGACATACAAACAAACATACAGACGAACAGATATTACTACTTTATATTTACGACGAGCTTATGACACAGCTTTGATTGGAGTTTTCCTTTTAAAATTTAACTCACTTAAAATAGTTAAAGTATAAGTACATTACGTTAGTTCTATCGAGTTATATAATCGGATTCGATTCAAATAAGTCAAGGACTTCAGTAGTTATATATTTTTTAACAATTTATTTCTTTTTATTTTAAAAAGGTTTTTATAAAAAATAATCACAAACTAATACAATATTATTTTAATAATATTACAGTGTTCCAATCTTTCCCACTTCGGGATTTTTGGGTCCCCGGGACCCCCAAAATCCCATATGGGAAACAACACCCAGACATTTATTAGAAATTGTTCGTACATTGTTCTTATTTATTCATAAGAAAAAGGAACACTGCAACAAACGTGGAATTTTGAATATTTGTAGGACCCAATGTTAGAATCTCCACTTATAAATAATAACAAATGTGATCAAAGGAGTTTTGGCTAGGAGTAGATTATAAACAGTTGGAGTCTTGAAACTGATGTGTAAGAACATCTTGGGCAGTACTTGTAAATTATACTTGTACTTGATGCTTCTCCACATTAGGCAGATCCGTGGTTGATTGATATTTACATGTTTCCCATGGGTTGTTGGTTTTACTTAAAAACTGGCTAACCAGACCTGTTTCTAAGGAGTGCAAGTCGAGCTTTTCCATAGCAAGCCTAGACCCAGAGAGGTAAAAAACCTCTGCTCTCCAGGGTAATACAGTGTTGACAGATGAAGCAGGTTCAGTAGTTTAATATCTAAATATAAATTTGGCTTGTCTGTCTGGGTCTTTGTTTGTTTGTTTGTTTGTTTATTTGTATTCAATAAACGTCAAAACGGCTAAACCGATCGGGCCCAAATTTTTTGTGGCACCTCGTGTTATCCCAGGGAAGGTTTATGAATTATAAAAATTTTAAAAAATGTGCTTTAAAGGTTTTTAATTTTGTAAAAAAATTTAAATTCTTGAAAATCCGCGAATTTTTTTTTAAAAATCCGGAAATTTTTTTTTCTTTGTTTTAAAATGTAAACAAAAAGAACATGTTCACAATTTAAATAGAAGATGGGCGCGGTATTTTCTATGCTTTTTTCATTATTGCTGTCTTCTTCAAAGAATGAATGTAATTTAAAACCATAAAAAGTCGTCATTAATATTTTGGAAAATAGTTATATCTGAGAAGGGTAGAATTGTAAACACTATTACAAACAAAGAGCTAGAGTGCAAAATAATTAATTATAAAAAACAAAGAAAATGATAAGGAAAAATTTCAAGGGACAAAAAACTAAAACATAAATATTAGAAATAGTTCTTTATAAATGTATTTATAACCACAAAGAAACAAAGAAAGGAATTGAGTTTTTGTCACAAACTCTGGCTTTGCTATCAAAAGATTTTTTCAAACTATGAATTCTGTGAGATCAAATGAATTAAATTTCAAATATCAAAAGTTTAAACCACCCGGTTGCAAAGATATATGAATTAGAAAATTAAATTTTGTGGCAAAAAATCCATTCTAAATATTATCTGAATTAAAACGAAAGGAAAATTTTTATGAATATTAATATTCCTATTTAGTTGCCTAAAGGGACTGCTGACTTAATTTCAAGGGCCTCTTCATTAAAAAAAGAGGCATCTGCGATTCACCACGGCACCCTTTCATCTTTTGGTCGAGCAAAAAATTCTGCAAACACAATTTGATTACCCTCAATTTGAAAAGTCTCACTCAACCTATTGCCGATGTTGAAGCTACTAAAAAATCAATATTTTCTGTATCACGAACAGTAAAAGTAAGAAAATTGCTGAAATTTTGTCTAATTTTCGACGCACGGTGGACTGGGGTCGGTCAAATAGGCCTAGGATTAGGTCGGGTACTGTAAAAAGTCTGAACGCGCCATGGGAGTTGTCATAGTTAGCCCTCTCACGGGACTATGCCAAGAAAATTGACCTCTTTCGTATGTTAGTCTGGTTAGGGCGACGTACTGCACCATAGGATCGGGTCAGTACACGCTGTTATCTGGCAGGCCGGTACAAACTGGGCAGGTCCTGTTCTAATTCAAATTTACTACGGGGATAGAGTGGACGGTTCGTAAATTGTCCTTTACTTTCCTTAAAAGGATCAATTGTTTTTATACTTTTGACTTTTTAGAAAGGGCTTTTGAGAAGAGTTTTTTAAAACCTTTATTTCTAAAATTAAGGTTGGGATTTTAACAATCA